GAAGTTAATGGAAAGCAAACACGGAAAATTGACACGGAATATGCAGCAGAATAGAAAAGTACAGAGTAAATCAAATACCCATATATATCCATCCATATATAAACGTCCATCCATAGAAAATACACGTGGGTGAAAATGAGAAACGGTAAACCGGGAGCTAAACAGACTTTGGCTAAATAGAGACTGAAAAGTCAAATGGAAATCGGAGACCGGATCGATTACAAGCCGGAAACAGTCTCAAACCATTGACACAATCTAGCCTGAGATCTGGATCAGGATAAGCAGCATTTAGGAACCATACAGCCTTGGACTTGGTGTCCTCATGTCCCGTTGCCATTTAACATTTATCTACTTTTGGTAACCAGTCAACCACGCACAATATAGGTTAACGCGCGAGGAGGTGGATCTCAGCATGTGTACGGAGAGCATGATCTAGCTGGCACAGAATATGTCACAAGCCACTACCAACGAACCGATGTCAAATGTAAGCAAGAGGATCGCTTTGCCGCACATGAAGAACATATCTGAAATGACGACTCGATTGCCCAAACAACACCCTGTCATAGTTGACCACAAGTCAACCGCTACTTTAAGAGGAACACTGTCAAACCCAAAGGACAAACGGGAAGGACATGAAAGAACAAACGTCGTGTATAAAATCAATAATTGTAGGACAGACAGGAAGGAAATTATCGACCAAGTTACAATAACCGCACAAGGCATGCAAAAAATAGTACTTATCACCGCTGGTCTCGGCGCATGTGGATGTAGAAGGACATAGTCTCAACTGGAACAGAACGGAGATTCTTGCCCAAGTGGAGACACATAAGGAAGAGAGTTCCTCAAAGCTTAGTTCGCCTCTAGTAATTCTATGAACATGCGCATTAACATCGAGCCTATATACCAACAAGTCAGAAAGAAAGAACTCCAGCGATTTGAAAAACAGAGCCCGAAACGTGATACACAACGAACAATTCGAGACTGTTTTGGCCGTGGAGGAAATGGGCGAACATCAAGGGACGCAAATCGAAGACGCCACTTTCAAAGGCCGCGTGCCAATCGAGCACGAATGGACGATTGAATCAGCGAGATTACCCATCGAGCATCACCGTACTGACGATGCCACCTCGCATGATGGCGAAACGTATGCGACTGTTTAATCAAGCTCGGCGAACCAATGCACAGCTGAACAGAATATGCAAATTCAACCGACAGTGCACTGAAAACCAGTTAGAGGTCCATTTGGGGATTACCAAACGGTGGACCCCACCTTTACCCAGTCGGTGTTTCCGCCATAGATTAGCAACGAAATTCCACCATATTTGATTAAAAAGGAACATACTAGTAGTGGTTTACCTGGTAGTGACCACGCTGCGATTTTGCACTGCGGAATTAGTCTTGTTGCGACAAACTGACATTCCTAAAGATGACTGAGACGGTAATAGGGCCCACGAGCTTTATCAGTGTGCGCAGCGATTGATGCGTCGCAAGGAGACTGGAGCTAAACGTAGTGCGACGGTTTGTGTACCTCTTCGACCCGTTGAGCTGGGTGGTGCCCCTGGGCGCCTTGACAGCTACTCTTACCACGTCGGTAAATGGTTAGAGGTCAAACAAACTTAGTCTCCTGGTCTTCCAGTAATACGGCGCACGGGTTTTTTCAGCGTGAGCAGCGATTGACTTGATCGTTAGGGGAGGTACGATCCCTCAGGTAACTGAGCCGACCTACCAATCAGCATAACCATTAAATAATCAGACAGCTAAGCGAAAAGTTGGGTTCCATTGGTTCACATTAGGTTTCGTTCGAGCTGTTCTCATCGAGTCTGGCACTTTTGTCAGACACAGTTCGACCTCAACCAAAGTAATATAGTCAGCGCGTTGTTACGTAGTGTGTAATATCCTAGCATAAGGAAGCCTCGGTGAGAGTGCGCCAGGCAGGTATGTGCATCACAACAGATGCAAACAAAACCAATACAGAATATTCAAATGTAAGGAATCAATGAAACGAATTGCTCAGTCAATGGGATGAAGGCAGTGTTCCAGGATGTGGTGCGATTTCGCCTGGCAAGCGTTCTCCCCATAAAAAGCCACAAGTATCCGTTTAACAACACTGTGACGTGGCGGATGTGACTCGCCACTAAATAAAGTCACTGCCTCTTCCCTTTTCCGGAGGATCATTCACACATCACGGACGTCATCTGATTCAAAGCATTCCATTGATTCCCCCCTTTGATGGCGAACACAACGAACAAAAGCACACAGTCACATGTACCTACTCACACAACATGTCCTCTTCCAAATACACAGTTAAACATAGTTTTACATCTCAACACACACACATTCCTATGCTATTGGTCAAAATGTACCAATTTGTGCAATTGCCGATCAAACATGTCTGTAATACCATGATCACGCCCTTGATGGTGTGCCTCGCAGTGACGAGAATAAATTATTTATTTATTTATTTATTTATTTAGTGATCACGCTGTCTGGCTTAAGGCTGTTGTGGATGGTACAATCATCATTGTCGGATGAGTCAGTCTTTGGCCACGGTACGTGCAGGGATTGGACGAATTTCTTTAGTGCACAGGTTCGGATTATGGAGCAGTGACGATCGGATCTGCTGCTACTAGTGGGCGGTATCAGACTGTTCACGTGCGACATTCGGATACTGGGTATATTGACTGAAAACCACTTGCGCAAAAGCCCAGTCATTTTTAAATGCTCAGATCATTAGAAATCGAGCTCACCAGTGTAAAGTGTTCATCCTTAGTAGTCAACATATCCAGTTCGCTAGTTTTGTCCCAATGAGCAAAACACAAAACCTAGTCCATTGTTTCAACAAAAAAGTGAGGAAGACCTGCAAGGAGGACAGGTTTTCGGATGAATTGAGTTTAATTCGGAGCGTGTTCGAAGGAAATAGTTAGCAAAATAAATCCGTCCGGAGACACACGTAGCCGCGGTCACCAAAATTTAAACCCTCCACCTCAGGAAAGCACCTGTTCCACCTATGGTGACGTTTCTAGGGCGAGGCAATAACGAACCGAAACCATGAAAAGTTTTCCAGTACCATTTCTGGAATGTATCGCAGTTAATGTGTTCATTTAAATGTCCACAAGATTGCTTTGGGGATGAAAGGATTGTTAACACAGTATCAACGACTGAGGCCTTCTTTGGGCCTTCCATTTAGGTGAGCTTCAACGGCAAACGACGTCCACTATCTCTCGGACACACTAGCTGAGGTGTTTTACAGCTATAGCTAACGTGTATAATAATATAATCTCCCGGACATTCGGAATCCACCATCGACTCAAGTCCACCACAGGATTCCACGTTAGGTGCCATTTAAAGGTGTTGTGAGGACCATAAGACTGATTGCCCAGTGGAACCACCCATTTCGTTCTAGTTAAAAAACGGAATTCCAGAAATTCAATCACTAGGTGACAAATGAATTTAAGCTGATAGTCTGTTCCCAGCTGAGCAACATAGCATTGGATACTGGCAATTTGCGCCAAGCACTGTAAAGTGGACCCGCTTACAGTGTTTCATTAATAACATGTATTCGAATGGGGTCAAATGGTTTTAATCAAATTACCAGGATCGGCAACACAAGTCTATAGACGACTAGGTGACAGTGTGCAGACGCCTTGAATTGGTTTTTAGCACCTTCGCCTACTGATACGCAACCACGTATTTGCAAAGAGTAGGTTGATCCCACTTGAAGGTAAACAGAGGCCCAGTAGTGACTGGTCACAGAGAGGGGTTTCGACACTGCTATATCGTCCCGACCGATTTCATCCAACGCAACAGCGAGAACAAGAAGATCAGCCGGAACTGGAGCATATCTGCTTCAATAGGAAGCGAAGAAATTAGAGAGCACAATAAAAGCCATTAAAATTTAAGTGTGTTCACATCTTATAGTGGACGAAGGTAAGTTTTAAATGAATCTCAGATTGAGTTCCATTCAGATGCGGTAGTTGTGCATTTCGCTTCAACATCGTTCGATCAAATCAGACTGCATCGATTTATTCCTCTGAAACCCAACGCAGCTGCTTGTGGAATTTATAAACGAAATGTGCGGTGCGCACCATAAGGACTATCAGGCACAAGTCAGAGGCACCAGACAGTTGATAGACTCACAAACGTTGCCGGATTCCACCACCACTACAGTGCCAGAGGACAGTGGAGTTCGGGAACCAAAGTATTCGACAAGTGCGTTACCAGACAATGGTGATCACTGGAAATGGGCTACGCAGCAACTAAAAGCATGCTACTTACCAGTAATATTGAAAGGCGTTGGACAGTCACCCCTGGAAATAGGGAAGTGGCCGACCTTACATGACAATAACGGTCCTGGATAAGCTTCTACACCTCATTTGTCGTAAGAGTCGGGACAGCTAAATGAATCCTGTGGATAAGCATGCCATATCCTCAAGGCAAACGGTAAAGTGTCGCTCGCGCAGAGCTCGGTAATGCAAGAGGAACAAAAACATGTACCAACTCACATGGTTACAATTGAATTCTAGTACAAGAATTGAGTTGACCCGAGGGTAAGAACGGATAACACTTGAGCACACGTGTGGTGGCTTTACTCTAACTGCCTATCTGTCAGCATTGATGGTCAGACATTGCGTAAGGCACCAACCTGTTCACGCGGCGCCCGCTAACGCTGCTCGAGTGAACCGCAAATGGGCCGTTGAGGTGTCTGGTTGATAGACAAGATGTATTCAACTGTAAAACGTAGCGTAGAAGAGCAGGGCAATTACAAGGAAATAAACGGATACCGCTGCGTATCACAAGATCACTATCCAGTCAAAGATAATCGCATAAAGAGCTGGCCACCGCATCTCCCATTAACACCAGGGCCTATTCATTCCGGACATTTTAAATGCGACATAAAAACCACACAAGGAATCACATGTAGTAGGGGGAATTTTATAAATGTTAATCAATTACGTGGAGCTCGTGATGACAGTTTGACCAGAAAAACAATGTTATGGTACCTCCACAAGGAATGCGCGATCACTTTGTCTCGGATTTGCCCGGTGGCACAATCACAACGGGTATAGAAGCGTGGTGCAACACGTAGTCACTGACGCTCCCGAGAAAAGTGCGCCGAATTGCGCCAATGCCACGACTGCCCATAACTACGACATCTGCCTCATGATCCTTGGTGGATTTGACGATTGCAGCACCTGGTTTGCTATCCACATGAAGGAATGCTTGCGAGGGTAAGTCGTTTTCTTTCGCCTTTTGCATGTATTGTCGGCAAATTTTTTTCCCGTTATCAATGCTTTCTTGCATCACACTACCAAAATCCGGTAGTGGTGGGGAGTCCATAGCTATACCAAAAGCTGGACTGGCGTACACCGGTTCGATCACACTGACAAACTGGATACGGTCGCTATCGCGTTTCATGTGTTCAAGGTACCACTTGAAAGCTCTTTCACAGTGCTCACTGCCATCAATCGGGAAGAGGACCGAACGAGTAGTACTCTCCATGGCTGCCGGCTGGTCGCACATGGTCACGTCGGCGAAGCAAATGCGCAATGGTCAGCGAGGTGACCATACATCGGAAGAACGACCTTGTTTCTGATTCGTCTGTAACCGCATTTGGCACGACTGACCAATCAGTTATACCGGATACGTGAGACAGCCAATGTGCATAGATTAGGCATAGCTGCGCCCACAACACGTGACATCGGGCGGAGTCGGGATTAGCGCAGTGTCCGCGGTAAAGTAGAGAACCGCTATCAATCTCATTTGACAATAGTCGGATGGCGAGGATAGATAAGGCCAACGCACGCATCCACATCAAATACCAATAGAATGAGGTCGTCACTATTGGATATAGCACGATTCTCATCACTCAAAACCATCTGCTGAGTGGTGAATCAGGAAAGCAAAATGCTAATTGGGCTGTCCATAAGCTTCGCAAACCCCATACATTGAATGCTGACGCGTGTGCGCTGGATGTCGTTCATTGTGGGTAGCTAGAATGAAATTTGATATCATAGTCCAGTATCCCCTGTCACTAAGAGCCCAGCATATGCATTGCTCTAGGTTCATTCATTAGGACTCATTCAATCCACATTTTCCGATGCGAAGCGTTGGGATTTCTGCGGCAGTGAATACAAAACTAACGTGCGGGTGGACAATTCCGAACAACCTAATTGTCTTCGTGGGTTGAATTGAGATACAGTTAGCTTGTTCGCTCTGTTGTTGCTTAATGCCTTCAATCTAATGTGGAAGATGTGTTTAGTAAGCCCTAGGGAGTGACAGTACAGAAAACTATTCAAGTCGGAATAGGCTTTCTCCACCTAAGTAGGTGCGTTATCAGCATTTACACAATCACTGCGAGTACCCTAAATGAATGGGACCAGTTAAAGATACACAAACACAGATTGAACAATTAAATAGTCAATGTGGACGTCATCCAGACAAATGTGTGCGTAAAGCATATGTGACTTTCATAGGGCCGATAAGAAGGTGTGACGAAGAAGGCAAGATTGTATAATATACGAAGAAGTGCGAGGGAATAAAACCCTAAATTTGGAGCTGTGTGAGAGACAAGTTACGTTGGTAAGAGGGCATTATGTATCGGATGAAAGTGGTCACTTAGGACCTTAGAAGAAAAATTCCTGCAAGCGTCGAAATGCTCACGAGCAATAAAGCCAATTATGTAATTACTAGGCAAGCCGCCACATCTGGAAATATATTTGCTCGATCGCACAATCAAAACTTAGTTCTTTTGTAGCAGTCAAGGGAAGATTACTGGGAAACAGTACAACCAGTGAGGTAGTATAAATGCAGTTAAAAATGTTAAAATCACGCTTCGAGGAACTGATAACTACTTAAGTCGGAAGGCATAAAAAGATAACCTTCTGACCTTGTGAAAGATCTCCAAAACCTGCATGGACCAAGAGAGGATTTGTGATAAATCGACACCGAGATATTTGACTGTGGATGAAATAAGAATAGCTTTGTCCTCCGAAGTTAATAGAGGAGAGACATCTAAAATTATTTGATTTATCTTGGCGGAGGAATGAAACTGTTACATCAATACCTTTCACAACATTAAGGATAAGGGATCTGGTTGTAGACCAACTCAAAGTTCGTCTAAACCACTTTGAAGCGTAGACACCTCAGTGGAGGGAGATCTGCACCAAAACACATTGTCAGCATATATACACCCCATGAAGATGGTGTTGGAAGTCCAGACATATAACGAGAGGAAAAGGGGTGAGATGATGGCGCCCTGCATACAGCCATAGTCAACGCGAACATAGGGGAACTTTTACAGTTTAAGTTGGTTAGGTGTATACGATCATTGAAGTAGTCACACAACAAGTTACAAACATCAGGATGGGCTCCGTTCAAATGAAGTATGTTAAACAGAACTGAGTGGTCAAGACTCCTAAACGCATTTGAATTGGCAAGAAAAAGAAGCCGTATGGGACCCGCACTTTTTATCTGGCGCAGATGATATTGAATGCACTAAACAAGAGACAGTATCAATCGTGGAGGGCTGGGGTCTCAACACAAACTGGTAGACAGCATCAGCACGAATAGCTGTGGGAATCGGTGGCGCTAGTAGTTTTTCGCATACTTTTAAGAGCGCGGAAGTGCAAGCAATAGGCCGGTAGTTTTGTTGTTCCTTTATAGGAATTGACGTTATTCTGGCTACCCTCCAGGTGTCGGCGTCAGCACTGGCCGTGAAACATTTGTGAAATATATCAGTCAGGGGCAATGGAAGGAAAACGGCGCACTGCTTCAAAATTACGGGTAATAAGTCATCAGGGACACTACCTGTGTTTGTATTTAGCTTCTTGAGTTCACTGTTGACAGCAACTTGATCAAATAAGATGGCTGGGTTTGAGCTAGTGATACTGGGTAATGGGAAAATCCTAGACGGAGAGGAACTAAGCACAAGATTGTGTTTGTCAACATCACGGGTCCAGGACCTTCAATAGTACTTGTACCGTAGATTTGCTTCAACAGCCTCTAGAGACCCCGGCAGTTACAGTTTCCAAGTACGATTTCAATGTATAAACTGTTTAATCTTGTTATTTCAGCTTTAATAGCTAAAGTTGGACCACTGACTCGGGTGGTCATTTTGAGCTTGTAAGCACTGCAGCGGGCCAATGACAAACCACAGATAGCGCCAACGACGGCTTTTTTGTCTAGCCATCACCAAACTATTATTGTAACTTCATTTGGCATTTCTACTATAGATCCATGAATCCGTCCGTCATATTAGTTCCCAATACTATCTTTAAGCTCATTTCAAAATACACCTACAGAAATAATTGTTCATGTAAATGCGCACAAGGGTCTTCGGGAACAGAACGCAGTTTCCTTGTCCGATTGCCAACTAGTCCGTCCAATTCACAAAAGACTGGAAATAAGGTGCAAAACAGCCCCACATATCGACAAAAGTTAGGGCAACGATTTCAGACTTACTGTCGTTTCAAGTAACACACGTGATCAGTATGAGCGGACGGAGAAAGAATTTAACGACTTGCTTTGTCTATACATGGGCAAAACTGTTTTTACTTAGTGTACAAGCTCAGGCATGTAAAGAATGAAACAGGAAGGATGAGTTATGCATTGTTGCCGTCGTCACAACAAAACCGAAGTTTCGCTTGACTAAGCCTGCTAGTTACCTCCCGGTGGAGCCTCACCCAGCGCTCGCTAAGGTCATGAAGGTGGTCATCGCATAAGTATTGATGAGCTACCTGAAAAGTTGTGGTAGCATCGAATCGGAGCAGCTAGGTTTTTGGCAGTATCAATCATATAGTACAAACCTACTGGTTGCGTGAGACAACATGACCGAAGCAGTTAAGGAGGGGGCGGGAAGCAATGTCGTCTACTAGGAGTTTTAAATACTGTTGATCGTTTAGATTACGGTATGCTGCCTCAAAGGATATGCAAAAGGGCGTCGGATAGCCAGTATTGGAAATTATCAGAAAGTGTCTCTGTGAAAGACAACTGGAGGTTAGAGCCCGAACATCTTTGTCCGACCCCATTCAAACGGAGCCTAGCGTATCGTAGGGTTCGCTACTTGGACTTTGCCTGTTCTTAGTTTTCATGAGCGATCTAGGGAGAGTTATTACCTCAACACTTTTACTTTTCGTGTACGGCGTTAAGGTTTGTTTGTCATCAAGGGATTGGAGGACCACTAAGATCTTCAGAGCTACCTTGTTGAGACATGTAATTGGTCTGTGAGGAACGCAAGGCCATTCACTGTGAAGTAGTATTGCGTAATCCACATCCGCTATCCGCACGCCTGCATCTACAGGTCTGGAGTGGCATGATGTGGAGACCAGCTCTTAGGAGCGCGATCACAGTATGATTGCGCCGGACGAACTCGAATGTTCCAGACGGCCTGAGTGCACTCCAAAAAGAGTTAGCAAGCTGTTGGCTGCTTGAAAAGGGCGCATATGAGTTAGGATTCACCCATTTGGTTTCTGACGCGGTATGATTACGTGCGTCCCCAGATCGAATACACTATGCAGGGATGACAACCTTGACCTCCCACGGCTCGAATGACGAATAATGTACAGAATTTGCGCCACTTTCGTAGCATGAATGACTGAAAAAACAAGGAGTGCTTAGTGGAAGCTAACGGAGGTCACGTGACGAACTCATATTAATATACCAAGTGCCGATATATCTCAGTCAAGTGTGCCGCCACCTGCTGAAACTCATTTCGAACACTAAGTTGAGAAACAACAGCTTGACACTAAATCCTATGTATGGCTGTACTGGCCCGGGTCGTACGGATCAACATAGTGGTCAGCGCAAAACTCTCAAATAAGCTGCAACCAAACTAAAGAGAATTAAAACATCATAGACCAGGAACAGCAGCTTCGCTATATTACTGCAGGTACGTAAGGCTCTACTGAGATATAAATTTCAATCTACGCAGCCAAACTCAGTGAAGGAAGTTGAGCCCTTAGAAATCCCGAAAAGGGAAACATATTGACTCAGATGTTCAAAAGAAGAGAGCCTAAACCTCATCAGAAAATTGAATTACTAAAGTTAGACAACGGTTTAGTAACGCGTGACATTTCCCGTGTATACGAGTCAATCAACTGCATCTCTACCTCCGCTTTGCGCTTAACGCTCAGCTGCATTACCCCCCCCCCCCCCCACTCCCGAGAACAAACGCGCTACTCTGCAATGTTTCCCTGACATAGAGAAAGGTGCAGAATGCCATGGCGCTCATGAAACCATCAACCCATTCTCGGCCAGACGGCATCACCCCAAATGTCATAAAAATCGGTGGAAAAATATCTCTTGGTACCCACGGACGCCGCACATTTCTGAATTACAGTACTGGATTCCAATTTTGCTCCGGGATTACTGAGTTACACGTGTAATTTCTGTGTGAATTGTACACCAATATTTTTCGT